TGTTTAATTCCGCCTGTGCAAAATGAATTAATTGTTGTTCTCTTTTACTCCTTGGAAGCATTCTAAAATGCATAGACAGGGAAAAAATGTGGAGTAACTATATTCAAGTAACTTTTCGCCACCTTGAGAGACAGATCATGCTGAATCATGGTAGCTATTAAAATAATGGCGTTCGAGTCTAGATTGGGCCTTGAGAATGTTGAACAAATTATAACAAAACTGCTACTGTCCAGGTGGATCTTAGGTTTCTGAATAAATGCAGCCAAATAAAAAACCTCGTGGAATTTTCTACTGTGCAGATTTTAGGGGTTTTATGTGTAAACTTCAAGGTAAACATCTCTGTTTGCATAATGTATGAATGTATTAACACTTGCGTCGCCAGTCCCTCCGTAACGCGCTTATTAGGCCACTAGCGTAACCTACATGTAGGCCCTAGAAAAGGAACACGCAAACTTGACGACCCATAAAATGAAAGCTCTTAGCCCCTGAAGTATGTCCGGAATCGCAGCAATACCTTACTGCTCAGAAAACGAATCAAAGAATTTGGCGAGGGTTTACATTCTCTCTTCTCTGACCTTACGATAATTATATTTACAGTAAGGTACGGAAGCTAGGATAGAAGCTCTTTTCTTGACTTTCTTATCGCGATGGAGCCTTCACTCTACTAAGCAACTAGTTTCAATGTTGTGATTTGTCGCCGTCAGGCTGCGTTTGAATACCGGACGCATATTTAAGATCAAACCATGGTGTACTTGGGTTGTCGAAGTTGACAGCCACCATCACGTTGCCCGTATTTCTCTGATAATCGAGGTTTACGAATCATTCCTGCGAATAACATTTGCAAAGGTACCACCTTCAGGTGTTAAGTGAATGACCTTACTTTGATGAGTCGTTTTTGTCGGTATATCTCAGTAAGCGTCCGGTACACTGAAACTCACGTTCAGCTGTACTCAAATAATGCAAACGTTTGCTCCGATTTATTTATCTAAGTTTTGTAAAAGTTGTCTAATTATCGCAGGTGGCCTTCACAGTGACAGAGGATTTTTCAAAATATCTTCGTCTGCTTCCTAATCTATGCTCTGACTGAAGTGTTGCCCGAACTTCGAAATCCGACTGTGACGTTAACTGTGACCACTTCAATGGCATCCCAACAGAATACCAGCAAGTGGCAGTGATTGAAAAGTAGATAAGAAACAGGCAAAATCAAATCCTTAATACTGAGAGAGCAAAGAGAAACCAAAACTTGGTCAGGCGTGGGAAATGGAACGACATAGCCGTGGCCACAGCTCTTGAAGCAAAATGAAACCGTATGCTCTTTTCGTAGCAACGAGGACATGTTTTGACGTACTGTTGTTACGCTATGCACGTTGGTGAAATATACGCCCTCGTACAATGGCTCGAAAAATTCGTCATATAATCTTTGAAAGTCAGGTGTGATATTTTCCTAGGTAGCGCAAAAAAGTCCCAAAAAATTCGAACCGAGATCGACTGTGAAAAATCCTTTGTAGATCTATGTACCAAGAAACATCTGGGGACACACACGGAACCATGCCATGCGTGAGCTGCTGTGAAGATGGGTGAAACAGCGATAGGACTCGGACAAACCTCCAAACTGGCGGAACCGCAAAAAGTGGATCGTTGGGGATAGTCGGCAGCAGTCTGGATCACGCCGATAAAATTCATAGTGCCGGTCCCCGACGGTTTGTAAGCTAGGAACGCCACCTCTTGGGCAGGAAAACGCTCCACGCCATGTCCTCCGTCACTAGCTTATGATAAAGTTTCAAAATATGCCAAATGCTGATAAAGCTCCACCGAGTCACTTTCCACCAGGGTATGGTGGAGATGGGCAAACCCGTCATCCGGACTGCGTCAGGCTGTATTTGCGCGGCGTTACCGAGACCAGATGGCATTCTAACGAATCAGAGCAGCCTAGAAGCTGTTAGCAGAGCTATGTGAAGTACATCTACTTTAGCATCCGAGATGTAGTTGTGTGTAAGGACCAACCCCATTTTCTAAAAAGGTCTTGATGCTCAAGAGACGGGCGAATTAAAAATGGGCTGGTGGCGCAACTTCTTGCGACTAGGTTTACCAAGTGCCCGCCAGTATTATACGAGGTTCTTTGGTGGGCATTTGAGGTAAAAGGCTTGGAGCTATCTGAGAGACGAAAGATGTTGCGTGGAAGCACATTTCCCAACGCACCTTTGGCCAAGTGGTGCTTGCTTGTGTAAATGAAATCAGTGGGCGACGGAGTGATGGACCAGCAGTGTCAATGTGCCGCATGACGTGGTCCGTGACAGGCGATGGTTCATCCACAAGGCATATTAGGTCCGAACAGCGACACAGACCGGCTGGATACGCTTGGTGCGGCAAAAACTGAACAGAATAAAGCAGAGTCCATCTACACGCTCAAAAGCTTTCAAGCTGACTCCACGGTAACTAAAATTGTGTCCTTGTCAGCCTGTGGATCAATTTCCAGTATAGCGAACGAAATATCCTCGACTACAACGCACCCAAAATAACTCGCTGGGGTCCTAGACCGAATAGTAGATGACGAGGCTCAGAGCTATGGTAGTCTCATGGGCCAATTTTAGTGCAGGTGTGTCGGCCGATTTATGGCCCGAAACTGAGAACATTTATTGATCTGGTATTTGTCGACGAGATCTTAGACTGCCCGCAAAAAAGATGGCTATGGTGAAAGCAAGTAGCGAGCGCCAGCAGTTTGCGCTTCTAGTAAGTATTTCTGGAGTTGAAGGTGACTTCATGGCGGTTGGATTTTATCATCAAAACGCGTGATGCCGGCGTAGCATGCCAGTGATAGTTGGCGATGAGCTACATCTGCCGAAGCCAAGGGAGCGATATCCGGTCATTGCCTTGGTGGTTAAAGGCTACTTTCCGGATTTACTGGGTGGCTGTGTCTGTCGGAAGGCTATGGATAGTAGGGTCAGTCAAATTACCATGTAAATAGATTGATGCATTCGATAAAGGACGACTGCTGCAACCGATGCACTGACTTAGCTGACACGTGTCCCGCAATTTTCTAAAATCTCCACGGCCACCTCCGTTGAGGCATAGAGCGGTTTGTGAGCAGCGACGATGAGCTCTGCACTTCCCTAAGGACTTGTTGCGGCAATAGATCCCTTAGGAAGGCTTACCTTCAATCATCTAGGGC